TATCAAAATAAATTGTTAATAACAAAAGTTGTTATGCAAACATCCATTAGTGCATTTAATAATTGCAATCAGTCAATAGCAGGTACTTAATAAAAACCCATTAAATCACCAAAAACAATTATAAGTAGTTCTCCTAACAGCTTGTGTGAACTAAAATTAGTTTTACGTTAGGCAAACATAAGTCCCAAATGCCAAAGTCCCAAAGGCAAAAAAATCCACAAACACTTTCACTAATAGTCCACTTCCAGATGATATTTGGCCATGTGGTAGTTCAAACTGGCCTTTTGCACAAACGCCTTGCTACAAACACTGCAGACTTGTCTCCGATCAATTATATGTATTTTTTTATGGAAATCTAGTGTAGTTTTCCTCAAAAACGCTTTCCTACAAAACCTGCAGTGGTAATCCTTCACAGTTTTATGCTTAAACTTGTGTTCGAAGCTGAAACTCTCGTATTCGCAAAATTCACATTTATACTTCTATCCAATCTCGCGTGTTGAAAACACCCTTGCAAGCATTGCATTTGAAGCGATCGTCCACATTATGCTCTTGAAGCTTGTGAACATTAAAAGGCACCAGCGACTTAAAACCTTTGAAACTACCGACCAGTAAACATCGGTAGGTTGTGATGCTTAGTTTTCACGTGGTTCGCGATGGAAGACCACTTGATGTACAGTTTGTCGCATTTGCTGCATTTGTATGAACCCCCCCTCTGTGATAAAGTCGCTGTCTTGGAGGTGGAACTTTGGCGCTGGCGACCCATCGCCTAGAAGACAGAAAACACACACATTTCAAATGGGTTCGTCCTCTTCCGTCAATCATCTTGAAGTCTTGCGCCATGACTTATTACTCCTTAGTTGGATGGTCTTTGGGTGGACCTTGGATTGACGCTCCTTTGGAACTTTTCTGCTCTTGGAACTTTAGCAATTCTTATCGCATCGAAAGTCAAACGTTTCATTTAGACCGTAGAAAAGTTATCGATTTCGTTATTTTTTTCACAGTCTATCTTTATATATATAATTCTTCTGTGAGTGTGTATGTCACTGAACTTCTCTTAAACGACTGGACCGATTTTGATGAAATTTTTTGTGTGTGTTCAAGGGGATCTGAGAATGGTTTAGATTCACAATTTTGTCCGCTGGACAACCCCTATTTTTTTAGGGCGGTACGAAGTTCGCTGGGTCAGCTAGTATATATATAAAACTCAAAGGTGACTGACTGACATAGTGATCTATCAACGCACAGCCCAAACCACTGGACGGATCGGGCTGAAATTTGGCATGCAAGTAGATGTTATGACGTAGGCATCCGCTAAGAAACGATTTTGATCAATTCTACCCCCAAGGGGATAAAATAGGGAATGTAAGTTTGTATGGAACTTTGTCAATTTTAAACCGATCGGGCTGAGACTTTGCATGCAGGTATAAGAAGAATCATAGATGATTTCATTGTGTATAATACAAGCCTGAGAACAAAAACTGTAGTCTACACCTCAGCTCTACACCGAAGCGAAGCGAGGGCGGGCCGCTAGTAAATTAAAAAAAGAGAGACTTACATATTGACAAAAATATTGTCTTGGTTGTTTATTAGTTATAATAACTGGAGGAATTTTCTTGCATTTAAATACTGTCTTAGGCATAAACGTATGGGTTATCTGGTGATAAAGATACGCTTATGATACCAGGCGTATCACGCGAGAGTTGACTCTCTTGTCCTATAGAAGACTGGCTTTGCAGGGATACACTATTAAATAGGCTACAGTTCTCTGAAAACAGGATCCTTTAAAGTGAAGGCTCCAAAAACACACTCCAAGTACAAAATCCGTAGAAATGGCTCGACGATGACCTTGCGCCGAGCGTTTGGAACCAATGTCACGGTAATATTATCTATACAGTATTGTGACTCCGCCCTGTCCTTGAAAATAAATGCCTACACCGAGCGCTGCGTTGGCACGCGGTAGGGCCGCCAGCCTACAGTATTTTATGTAGTTTTGTTTTTAAAGCGAGTGTAGGTAGATTACTCGTTTGTCTCTTTTTTCATCCTAACCACTTATTTATATATTATTCCAAATATTTTGCCCGATGGAAAAACCGAAATACCTAAATATTAGAAACAAATAACGTACTAGTAGATAGGTATATAAAAAATATTCTATAAAGGTAAGACACACCTTTCCAATATTTCAGGTAATTTAAAAAATGATATCTCTGGGTGTGTTATTGAAGAGTTCAAGCAACCAAAAACAGCAATTGTGCTGTTGTACGATATTGATCGTCGTTTGTTCTTTTCCGTACTAAATTATGTAGGTATCTACTTAATTAATCCAATATTTACAATACAAAACGCACGTTTAAGCACGGCTAACTGCATAAAAAACAATTCAGACCGTTGGGTCGTCGTTGCAGCGCGGCGGCGCATTCGCGACTGGGTGCACGCCGAGAGCACATCGAACTCGAGTGGCGTAGGTATGACTCGCTTTCCGACCGTTTGTATAAAGATAGAATACTGTATGATATTATTACCGTGCCAATGTGCTACAAGCACGTACGCCACAAAGCGAAGCCCACAACGACGGGACTAACATAAAGCCCAGCCTGAACCGAATGCGCGCAGACTGGCATTGCAAAGCCAAGCCAGGCAATAACATTGAATTGCAGCTTACTGCGCGGCTCGCGTCTCCAAAGTGTTTCGGTAAAGCTGACAAGATGATTGCTGAGTGACTGTAAGTACGAGAACGTACTATTTTGGCGTGAGTTCGATTTGGCGTAATGAGCCAGAAATTACTGAGCAAAGAAATCTGCTGCATTCATCTTCATCATCATCAACCCATGCTCGTCCACTACTGGACATAGGTTTCCCCTAATGCACGCCACTGCTCCCGATTTTCTGCCACTCTCATGCAGCCCACTCCAGCCAGCCTACGAATGTCATCATCCCATCTTGTCTCAGGGCGTCCTACAATACGTTTATCGAGTCGCGGTCTCCACTCAAGAACTTTCCGGCTCCAACGGCCGTCACTTCTGCGGCTAATGTGACCAGCCCACTGCTGCTTCAGTTTGCTAATTCGGTTCTACTGCGTTATGGTCGTGTAATGTGTACCCAATCTGGTGACATATGACTCCTTATTGATAACATCATAAATTTTCTTTATTGTCACCATATACAACCTCCTAATATTCTCTAATGTTGCAGCATAACAAGATACATGTCGTTGTGCAACGGAGCGCGGCGAATTTATCGATATTGTTTTTTTAGGGTTCCGTAGCCAAATGGCAATAAACGGAACCCTTATGGATTCGTCATGTCTATCTGTCTGTCCGTCCGTATGTCACAACCACTTATTCCGAAACTATAATACTGTTGAAACTTGGTAGGTAGATGGATTCTGAGAACCGCATTAAGGTTTCACACAAAAATAGAAAAAAAAAACAAAAAATTTTGGGGGTTCCCAATACTTAACTGAAACTCAAAAATATTTTGCATACAATTTCTATGGATATTTTTACTAGGTATCAATCTATTGTCACGTAAACGTAATTTGAACTCAAATAAGGGTGATAACGGCCCCAGCGAGGATTGGTGGGTGATAACAGACCCAGTGCGGATTGGTGGATGATAACGGACCCAGCGCGGATTGGTGGGTGATAATGAACCCAGTGCGGATTGGAGGGTGATAACAGACCCAGCGCGGATTGGTGGGTGATAACGTACCCAGCGCGGATTGGTGGTTTATTTTCTATTAACAAATCTTCAGGTTAAGTTTATGATTTTCAGATCATTGGAGTTAAAAAAGTTTCACTTCAGTCGTGTGGTCATAAGCACACTCGGTTTTTATTTCTTTTTAGTATTAAAGATCGACAAATTACGTATAGATTGAACGCTCTTCCAAGGAGGTTCGTCCTAAATGAAAAAAATACCGTAAAAGATACGCACGGTGCCATGTATGGTAGTGTGCGGTAAAATGTTTTACCGCAGGCTCCGTTGTATGGCTCGTAATTTTGAACTTTCGAACAATGTATACAACCTTCATAAATGCATTTTTTGAGCAATTATGTATTAAAAAGGGTCTTTTCATGTGTTATTAAATAAAACAGTTTTTACGGGTTATATGCACTGACCACCCTTTTCAGGAGTGCATCATCTCATCGGAATAATGAATTTATTATCTTTGTCGAGCTACCCTAAAATAAGGTTACCAGATGAAAAAATCAAAAATCCGGAGAAAAGGCCTGATAGCCATTGAATAATCTTGAGATTTTTTACAGTTTGAGAATTTTCTCTCAAACGTACTTAAAAATTTTAAAAAGTCGTAATTTTATCGTTTAGATACACTGCGGACGTCGCTCACGCGTTGCAAATAGCACTCGAAGCGCGGGGGTTGACGGGGTGGCAGCGGCTGATTTAAAGATATCGCACCTCCGGTGCGACACTGTCACTTATGCAAAAAAATCATTTTTTCAGAAGAAGCGTTTAAAAAATTTTTTTTTAGGATGAGCGTTTAAAACTTTAACATCCCAAAACATACAATATTTAAAGTTTTTTTTTATTTTATTTTTAGATGAATAGCTAAGCTGTATAAGCTTTTCATCACGTAAAAATCTTTAAATATTATTTGTTAAAAAAATTTTTTGGCATAAGTGACAGTATCGCACCGAAGCGGAGGTGCGATATATATAAGATTTCAATTGTACAATTATTACCAAAGGAACATTATTTTTATTTACTTTTTATTAAAGAGATCTTTAAAACGTAAGCTGTATTTTATTGAAATTTCAAAAAATCCTGAGACTTAATGCGATTTGCAAAATCCAACCGCAGTCCTGAGAAGAGTCCAAAAATCCTGAAATCTCAGGATAAATCCTGAGATATGATAACCCTACCCTCGAAAGACTTATTCAGCGTTCTGATATTAAATTAAATTTTTTTTTACGTGGTCTCCAGACTCGAAGTGGAGGTGCTCTGAAATGGTAGGAAAGAATAGTAGATCAATCGACACTTACCTTTTTTCTCTTTCTCCGCGTCTTCTCCTTTCGATTTGACGGCGTGTTTGCGTGGCGATCCCTTCGGTTTGGCCTTGGATTTATCTTTCGTTTTCACCTTTTTGGTACGAGACTTTTGCTCTTTCTTGATTTCGATTTCCACATCGTAATCGCGGTCATCTAGTGAACAAGACAAATGAATAATAAATTAAACCATATACTCCAATATTGACTTTTTGGCGGGATCGGGAAGCGTCACTTTAGCAGTTTTGTTTTTCTTGTAAAAAAATTGTGTTGTGGCGGATGTTAGTGTCTAATAATGGTGGATTATTGACCACTAAGTTTACGGGAACATGCACAAGTGTTGGCAAGTGAAACAAAATAGCGGAAAGTGTCTTTCGACGTTCCCTCAAGAAGTCCACGGGGAGGTTCCAGTAAATCCCCACACTTATACAGAAACATAGGGAAAGGGGAATTGACTTGACTGCCACTTACTTTGTCTTGATTTATTACTTTGAACACGAGTGCTATAGTATTTGTAAACATTTTAACACTTGACATTGACTAAATGCACAAACCGTGCGAAGCCATTTAGAAAACAAAAAAAATATATATTTGGTATTGCACTTTTTGGAGATTTCGACATTTCCATGGCTAGTATAATATGTAATCGATTTTCGAATACAAAGACTACTATAACTGCTATAACTGTTCGACTGCGGTCGTTGAAGTTGAGCAACTTTCGCAGTGGTCGGTCATTGGATGGGTGACCAAAAATTCTATCACGAGCTCCTCCGTGCTTCGGAAGGCACGTTAAGCCGTTGGTCCCGGCTGCATCTGCAGTCGTTAACACCCACCAACCCGCACTGGGAACGCGTGGTGGGTCATGGCCCAATCTCCCTAACCCATCCATAGGCCTGTGCCCCAGCAGTGGGGACATTAATAGGCTGATGACGATGATGTTTATTTTATTACTTGATAATGTTATTGTTTAGTTTCGTCACAGAACCGGTTCCAACGGAAGACCAGCGCTAATGGCAACATCAGTATCATACTGAGTTGGGGCCGATTTGAGACAAAAAAAATACTTAGATGTGTGTGTTTGTTTATATATTCTTTTACTGTTGTTTTGTCTCAAATAAATTATTTTTCTTCTTACTTTCTATTTTCTTATGCGAATCTTTAGCATTAAAACGGTAAACAGAGGTTGCTTAAAACATAGGCTATGTACACCACAATATTGTCAAATATTAACTGCTGTATTGTGTTAAGATTCCTAAACGTAATGTCATGTGAATTAAAGGAACGGTTTGACATATCGCACGTCACAAACAATAGGGTATTAAGTCAGCAAAACCTTTTTTTTTTATTTGCGTTTCGAAAACTACATTTTTTTCTCTGTAAACTGCTGGGGGCCAATCGCCTAACGGAAACGCTAACGCTTACGATTTTATATTGTTATTTCTAGCCGCCTGAGGTTTTCGAATACCTCACGCTCATTTTTTTTAATATTGTTATTACCAATGCAAAAGAAAAAGAAAGAGCGCGAGGCATTTGAATACCTCAGGCGGCTAGAAATAACAAAATAAAATCGTAAACGTTAGCGTTTTCCAAAGCATTTCCGTTAGGCGATTGGCCCCCTGGTAAGATAATCTCTTATCTATTAGACAAGTCCGTCCGTCCGTCCGTCTGTGGTGCTGTTTCAGCGGCCAAACCGTAAGAGATAGATAAAGAGAATGTTTAAGTTATAAGTTAAGAATAGTCTGATAAGACTACAAACCGGATTTGAGTAACGTAGCACATCCGGTTTTCGAGAAATCACGAATTTCAAACGAAACCACACAAAATCTCCGAAGTTCGCAATTAATTAAATACATTTTTTTTTTAATTGGTGAACATTTGGTTCCCTGGTTTGCTAGTTGTATTATAATTCGAAATAGTTTTTAAATTATAGCAACACATGTCGTCAATTTCCAGGCAAAATTTGTGATTGTGAGTATTCTAAACAGTATTATGTTAAGTTAATACCATATTGCCCGTTCGGATTAATACAAGTTTGGAGTTTTATTTTAATTAATACCTTCTGGCCTGTTCAATTTTATTTAATATGTTATTTTCAGCGAAATTATTGAAGCTATACTTCTTTAGGCGCGTTATGAAAAAATGATGAGAGTGAAATTTTAAGATGCGCGCGCATCACTGTAACACAAAATTTTAACAGCATGAAGTTGGTCGTTTTAGCAACCAACTTCATGCGTTACTTTTGTGTTTACCGCACATTAAGAAAATCTACCAACAAAATAGAAATAGAATCTCTATTTAGTGGGTGCTAACGACTGCATTGTGAAGGCCTATCAAAAGTATTTATTAATCTGGAACAACGGAACCAAAGCGCGATTCAGGAGACTACAGCGCCATCTCTTGACCATTGGTGTAGTAGAACCAAAAACCACATCTTTATTTTTTGTAATAAAGTTACAGTTATAGGTATTAATATTTATAATATTTATCCACATGTTTCTAGTTTGTATATTCGGAATACGTGTTTGAGTTTCATACAAGTGCAAATCACATATGTTCTAATAAATTATATTCAGTAGCGATTTTAATTGAATATTTTGATTATTTATTTATTTTTTCAAATTAAAACTGAACTTTATTGACTGTGTCCTTTTCCAGACTTTTATTAATTTATTGTAATTAATTATTTGCATGCAATTAAAAACTAATTTTAAACGATGCCAAAGAAGGATAACTTCTCACGCGCTTACATAAGTACACGCACCCATTTTTTTTTAAATGATACTAGTTGTAATTTTAACATGAGCCATTTGAGTCACATAAAAGTACTTTTAAAATAAAAACTACTATTGATACACTAAACTTACTCAACACAAAGAAGGATATTGTACGTTTAAATCAAGGTATTATTTTAAACATTTGAACAAGAAGTTCCGCTTCTATGATTTTTTAAAACTTCAAAACGCGATAGCTCAAACCCCTGTTTTTTGAAGATAATACCATTTTGTTTGTGACGTACGATATGTGACAGAGAGAAAGAAGCAGGAGAGGAGGTTTAATAGCGCGCTGATTATACATAGAAAATAATGTGATTACTGGAATTTAAAGTAACTGAAACTAAAAGTAACTCTTTTATTATTACCACACTAATGTAAGTTTTATTTTTTGCACATAGGATAAATTGGTTTCACTACGACAACCTAACAATGTAAATTCTGAAGTATATTGAAAGACATAAATTCTAAATTCAAATGAAAAAAAAATTGGACGACTTTAAACAGCTTTCAATAAGTCTATTTGAATAAAGTATCATGACGTTTCATTCCATATCAAATAACAGAAAGGGATATAAGTATCAAATTTTCGGGACATAGCTTTATGTTGACTGATCACTTACATGTAAACACTTACCTCCATCGTGACTGTAATCCAAATCGTCATCGGCTTCATCGAATGGGTACATATTTGGCTTAATATCTACTGTAAGAGAAAGAGAATTCTTATAACACAAATAAAATTAAAAAAATTGTGTGTGAAGTGAAACTTCTTTTCTTAAATAACTTAAAATTAGGCGGTGCATAAGGCATAGCAGAAAGGAGCAGATCACGCATCACTCATATATATATCTCTTTACTAATATTATAATATTTGGCGACCTCCGTGGCCGAGTAGTTTGTACGCCGGGTTTTATGGTGTCGCCGACTCGAGAGGTCCCGGGTTCGAATCCCGGTGGGGGCAGATGTTTGTGTGATGAATACGAGCATTTGTACTCCAGTTATGAATGTTTAATATGTATTTCTATATAAATATACTTATATATGTACAATATATGTATTCTATCCGTTACTCTAGTATCCCATAACAGAAGCCTTATAGTGCTACTTTGGGGCTAGGTTAATTGGTGTGTGTTGGAAATATTTATTTATTTATTATAGTCGTGCGACGGTGGTGACTGTGTTTTCCATTGGATTTTGCCATTTACACCCCGTCCAAAAATAAATAAGTTTCACTTTAAAATCTTGGCACTTTTGCCTCATGGTAATTTGGTGTTTGCATAGTCTTATTCTTAGGAGCTCAATGGCGCAGGTACCTAACACGTTCGGCCTGCGATCGTGAAAGCTAAGCAACTTTCGCCAAGGTCGGTCATTGGATGGGTGACCTTACAACCGTATAATCTAGAGCTTCTCCGTGCTTCAGAAGGCACGTTAAGCCGTTGGTCCCGGCTGCATCTGCAGCGTTAATACCCACCAATCCACACTGGGTCCGCTGGTGGGTCATGCCAAGTTCTCCCTGCCTGTGCCCCAACAGCGGGAACTAAATAGGCTGCATTCGAAAGCAGCTTACAAAAAGCAATATCAGACTATGTGTTTATCACATAATTGCGTTATGAAGAATTATATATAACATAATCGCATATACCTTACCTTCGGTAGCATCTTCAGTTTTTTCTTCTTTTACATCGATACCATAACTGGAACCCACTGGAACAATTCGAACCATTAAAATGTTTTAAGTTACATTCACATTTTCTTCAAATAATTTCAAGCAAAGGACTCTCTCTAATCTAATGTTCTCCAACACTGTGCTGTTAAACAATTCTACATAATAAAAAAATATTATGTACATTAACTAAAAAATGTTAGACATTGTAAGGAACTCTTAGATGTTTTGAGTGCTCATACACTGGAAAATGTTTAAAAACATTTATAACATTTGAATACATGACCTCAGTTTTGGATTACGTTCCGTTTCCGAACATTGTGATTATTTGTGGTCAGAAATGTTTGTTAAAAAAAGTTTACTGTTGTTTTTCAACATTTTCTCTTCCCTGTAAAACTCCTTTATTATAATTCCGATCCTGGTGGTAGTCTTTGCATAACACATCCACTAAAGTCCTCAATATAACATCTATGAAAGGTTTGGTCATAGTTCTTAATACTATGTATGAATTTTGAGTTACCTGAGAAAATTTACAAGTTGATTCAGACAATGATTTAGGTCATATTTTCTGAGAATCTGACCTCTATTTATCAAATCCCTAAATGTTTAGGGTGGTCCACCATAAAATTTTTTTTGACGTGACAACGTCTTAAATTAGGTTGCGGCTGGGAGTCACTTATGAAAAAGTGTAACGCTCGGTAACGTTACGATGAGTCTCTCGTGTTAAGTTTAAGTTTACATGTACAATGTTTTAGTAAACAAAATATATTTCTATAGTTAAAATTTGTGCAATTCTTATTTTCATTCAATTCCTTGTTCCTATTGTGCAATTTAATTATATTCATATCAATAAATATTCTACCGAGAAAAAGACGTTGTCACGTAAAATCTTCGCCCGTAAAACCGACTTTACAGGCAACCATTTTTTTTTTGGGGTATGAGGGTAGTAAACCCTAAATTTTCATATTTCTACCACCAACCCCTTTTTTTAGGTGGTACGAAGTTTGCTGGGACAGCTAGTAATTCTATAAAGTGTATGTTATTTACAAAGGAGAATGGTCATTTTACTATGGGAGTTGGGCTAAGTTTTTTTCATTGCGTCTTATTGGAATAAGTGTACAACAATAGGGAATCAGGTGTATATTGCGTAGGAAAAATATCATTAGAAACTTAAGTAGTGGTTTAAAGAAAATATTAAATTACGTAAGCATTTTAAGGTTATGTCATATTTAGATTCGATTAAATTCGATATTTATACCATACTTAATTATTACTAGGTATACTACTTTAAACTGTATTTAATTAGGTTGTGACCTTTTGTCTTCTATTTTGGACTGGGAGTGAAACAAAAATTGAATGCACTTCGTAAAATCTTATCAACGGGCAGCGTATATTTGTAAACTGTTGCGTTGGTGAGCTGCTATCTATCTCTATTTATTCCAAACATCTCAGATTCAATAAATGTGGCGTTGTTGAGGTGCGGTTATATTAGTGCTATTTATACTTATTCTCTTTACGCTCAAGCTGCACCTTTGATGCTCTGTTAACCCAACAATGGATATAATATTATTTAAGGTTTAGGAATCAAAAATAAATAAGACAAAATATTTTAATAAGATAATCATTTATTGATAACACATTTATCCAAATCGACATTATTAATGTGATATTTTTATTTTATATTTTTGGGGTTATGCCGTATCCAGTGGAACTGTAGTGACTTCGCCTAAAATATCTTTTGTAACTCGCCACCATGTCCTGTTGAGTTTGAAATATCCAGTTAAAGCTCTGCTAAGTTCAATTAACACAGCAGTTTATACATTAAGCGTGCTCTAATCCTGGTTTATATATTGCCTTTTTTTAAAAAAGAATTGACTTATATACCTTCTTCAAATACCTCATCTAAAAATGTAGCTGGAGCATGTGTATCGTTAAATCGCCCCCCGCTAAGGTACCACCAAACTACCGTCATTACGTGTGCGCAACATCCTACTGTCCTTTTGCCTACAATACAACTGCAGCAATAGCCAACTAAACAACTTAGTGAGTTGGCTATATTGGTGTCACGGCTGACTAAAATGTAAACAAAATAGGTGCGTCCACCAACGTGTCTAGACTTAATACGTCCTCTAAGCAGATAATTGTTTAAACCTAATACAAGGGGAACATCTTCATCTATTTCTGTATTTATTTCTATGGAATATATCCCAGACGATCGAATATGTTCCCCATAATATGATCGCGCCTGCTTTAACTGATAAGTGCCTAATGTAAAGCGTTTTAAATCAGTGATGCTTAAACTGGGAAAGGTTTCCAAGTGAGGATGATTGCCATCAATTGCAGAAAACATTGCACGTCTTCTGTTAAGATTTTGAGTTTCTACAAACTCGGCCAAATGATTGGACTCATTAAGCCGATTTTGAGCAATAGCTACATACTCGCTTGCTTCTGGAGGATCCTGTATTAAGGGATGAAACTTATTTAACAGAGCACATGCAATTCTTAAATCATCTTTTAAATGAGTTGCAGCTCTGTTATTAAATACATGCCTGAACAATCTAAAATCTCGTTTTATACGTCCATTTACTATTTCAACCACCCAGCGACACATTGTTACAAATCTAGATTTGTTAGCCTGAAGGGTAGTGAGTTGATGTTCACCATCTAATAATGATTCAGGCATGTAAGCTTTAAAACCAAGATCCTCCATAAATTCAATTACGTCCCGAAACCCCCTATCCAGAATAAAAACATCATCCTGCCGGAAAAATGAACGCAGTTTTCCTTCTTCATTATTTAAATCATACCTTGTTATTGAAGCATCATTAGTGGTTGCTTTATAGGGACCCATACAATCTATAATATATCCATCACAACACACAACCATAAAAGGTTTAACTAAATTATCAGATTTTTGTAAACTATATGATTCTTTTTGAAAACGATAATTGCTGCTGCTCTGGACAAATATTTAAGTTGCGTCACACATAACAATAGCGGGTTTAATATCATTTGGTAAGATTGGATTACCAAACAATCTCTCCGGGATTATTTTATTTCTGCTGGCCACTTGCTCCACATTTACATGACCAAAGCCCAAATGTCTTGACACAAAATCTTCAACTAAACAACTTCTAGCTATATTCATTTTTCTCTCCAAGGTCCTACGAGACATTTGAAAGAGGGAACTTAATCATTCATTGCTGTCCCCAGTTCTTAACTTGACTATGTAAATACAGAGTGCTAAACGGGGATTTTTGACACTCTGTAATAAGCTTGGTACACATGCCAAGAGTTCATCAAACTGTTCAGCATTCATTCCCAGCCAATAATGGCATAAGAAAGGAGCCATTGCAGAAATATTTTCAAAGTCGAAACAATGGGAAACTGCTCTCTGCATTATATTCAAAATGGCATCAAACTGTACACCAGTAAAATCTTGCAGATTTGATGTTAAATCACTCCAACGCCCATTATTCAAGTGATGTTGACATATTCTACAGCATGTGGGAACATAGAATTTATTATGTATTAATAACATTTCTCTTATTACTCTGGGTACTAATAAACATTGTTGTTCCCGGCATCCTGAAAACAGACAACTCGATGAAGTGGCTACAGCACGCTTATATACTGATGACTGTATCTTAGGTATAACAGGTCTTGAAGGCTGAACAGGTAATAGACCAGCGGGAAATGGTGGTGGTACTGAGATCACTGGTACAGACTCTGTTGGTTCTACATCAATTTGTTCAATTGATGACCAATTCGCATCATGTAACTGTTGCCTTTGCACTTCCCTATTAGCTGCTCGCCAACAGGCAGCACAAACTCTTGAAATTCTTGACACCTATAAAAAAAAGATAAGTGAACTTGAATTTAATGAAAAACCATCTACAACTATTTTATGCAATAGAAATATATTTCTTATAATAATAATAATAAATCATTTATCTGACAAGATATGGTAAATTATACAGATCTCAAAAATATAACCAACATGACCTGTCGCTTTTATCGACGTGCAAATATTTATAGGTAGTTGCAGTATTATCCAGAACTCAATCTTTAAAAACTATATATATTATTTATATACCATAGTCATGATTGAGTTAGTTATTATATAATCAATTTCATTAATATAGTACATGACAATTGTGCAATGTAAAAAAAATGTCAAAGTCATGTTTCAGTTAGTATTGAAATCAATTTAAATAAATTATTATTAATATAACATTTCAATCATGCAATGCAAAAATAATAATAATGTCACAGTCATGTTTTAATTCGCATTGAAATCAATTTTAATAATTTATTATTGATAATAATATCTTATACCATACCTGATGTGCTGGAGTCCATCTAAGAATAATATTTCTTTCTGGACAGTGTAGTGAAACCCTGTACGATCGACTTCTTAATATGGATTTTCCACAACCAAAACAGACTAGTTGATGGCCATATTGTGGTGCAGGTACTTCTTCGGTGGTGTCACTAGCTTGTAGTAGCATAAAGCATTCGTTGCACACTATGCCCCCATTCAATATCTATAACAAGTCAAAAATATTTATATTTATTTGAACATGTGAATGAAATTAAAACATTATCTCACGGTTGCGATTGTATAACGATATATTTTTAGTAATATAAGTAAATAATTACTTACAGAATCAAGTGCGATCCATGAGCTTAAAACATTAAGCATTGAATTGGATAGCATGTCCAAAGAATGTACTGGCTGTCGTCGTGGCACTGATATACAACAGTTAATACAACGTCGTTGCATACTGCCTGCGTTTTCTTGTGTAACACCAGATGCCATTGTAAACAAAAATAATTACAATAAACTAAGAGTCCAAATATCTCTGTCAGAATCGCTAAAGGTAACTTAACACTAAATCAACGAGTCCAATGCTCTCTTTCCCAAAAAAACATTTATTAACGAAGGATTACTCAACTCAACATTAAAACTATTCTGCCACAATAGACCACTGAAAACACAAATTCAATTCAAAATTGAAAACTGTACTTATGTAGTTAATCACTCGGAACAATTTTTTTTTTTTTGTTGAAGTTCTCCCGTTTTAGGGAAGGCAAAGGGAACAATGCCCATACAGCCTGGTCTTTAATTAAATTAATCTTCTTTTTGTTTTTACATTAGATTGTCGGTGCGACGCATTCTAATGTTTCTTGGAGTGTTTGGCACGAAATGTATCGAGTTGGCTTTTTCGATAAGCTTCTGTGAGGTAGTCAACACTACAATAAAATTCTCACGTCCACTTGACCGCAATAGCGTATATTTTAACGATTCCACTAATTCTTCAGTTACGCAGACAGTTGTTACACAAAACCACACCAATTTTATTTCACAATATCCACTATGAACGAATTGAAGAATAATTAAAATAAGACGCCAACCGCACTCGATGAAATCCCGCCAAAAAACCTCACTCGGAACAAACAACAAACACGTTGACAACAAGTTGACAGCTACCTACTTCACTTGGTATATATTTTGATTTGATTCTACAGGAATCGATTCCTACACAATCGATTAATAAATGTTTAATTTTTCAATGCAAATGCTTAAAATGTTCAAACCATGAGTTAATTTATATATGATTAAGTAATTATATATAACATAACTGATAATTTAAACAAAAATATATTCCCTTTTTTAATCTAAGATGTGAATATGTAGTACACATATAAAAGTTTTTGTATGCGATCTACTGTTTGATGAACAAAATAGTCCGCAGACAAAAAATCCTCTTTTGCGCAGCCCATTAAGTTCCTTTTAGTTTTTAGATGCAATGAAAGAGAGCAATCCCTGGTAGGTACAGTGAGATAGCCACAACACAGGTCTTACAAATGATAACTTTATGAATTTAATGTTATTTATCATGATATAATATTGGTAAAAATGCTCGTATCCATCATACAAACATTTGCCTCACCGGAATTCGAAACCAGGCCCTCTGAATAGGCGATTTGGGGAAAATAATCTATCCATCGATCCATACAAAAATCAAACAACTCGCATCGAAGACCTCAAAATAAAAAATGACTACGAATTAACGAATGATCATTATTTCGTAGTCATTTACGGTGTTTGGTAAAAATGTTTCAGGCTATTTACAATTGTTCTATGCTTTCAATTATAATAAACGTTTTATTTTTTCTTTTTGAAGTGAAACTTCTTTACGCACTCTTGACTTGGGGAGTAAGCTAGCGAACGTAAGCGTTAAGAAAAGTGTGATCGGGCGAGGCGAACGGGAGTTGAGTGGGGGATGTAAGCATGAGAAAGCAGTGCGCGTGCACATTTTCTTTCTCTCTTCCTCTCATAGCCAAATACGTTCCGTATATCTAAGCACAGTGCAAACCTATTGTCTGTATCACAGTGTAGGAGCAAGAGCGCGCGCACGCATTTTCTTTCTCTTTTTCTCTTACAGCTAGTAAATGAAAGAAGTTTCACTTCAGTTGTGTAGTCATAAGCACAGTCGTTTTTTTATGTTAAGAATATTTAAATAAAGAAATATAATCGTTTTTTTTTCACTCGATAGTATCGACCAGGTGATACAACTTTTATCTATGGTTATTGGTTATTTACTCAGTTTAATAGCCATTTATTTATTATTTTAAATATCCGCATAATATTTACATAATAAACACACATATGAAATGATAATTCAGAAGAAGATTTTTGATACATAAATGCGTCAAGCGCAATCTAGGCGGATTTGCCCATTCTCCTTTGCACCATTGTACCATTTTGTAAGCAACATAAATCGATATTTTTGTATGAGGCTGTAGTATTTTCATTGTTTATAACTATTCTATTTTTATTTACACAATTTTTAAATTACTCAGGTAACTCAAAATTCATGGTAGATATGCACATTGACTACTTTAGTAAAATCTGACATTTAAGAGTGCACACAATGCACGAAACATGAGCTGTTTTCTTTGCGTAATTTATTTGGATTACTCTATTTAGGCATAAATATAATGAAAGACCAGGTTGATTGATTAAGTCAACACCATAGCAACACTAGCCAAAAGCCATAGTTTTCTAATCTATATCTTTCAAAAATTCGGATTGCCTGAAATTCACGGGGCATGGCCAGGACTTATATGTCAACAAAAACAAAATTAAGAAACATCATACTGTACATTTGATGGCATTCTGGGCATACAGCACATAGAACTGTTCTTCGCATTTCTCCACTTGCTGCTTGAAGTTGCATGCATCACGCAACCTTAGTATGCAATCCTCACATATAGTGTATGTAACTGTACATAACGGTCCTTGTACTGAGTTAACCTGGAAAAAAATATCTATCTGTAATACTTTGTACTACCCATTCAGAAATCCTGTCGTTAATTCACTTTGATTTGGGAAGCGATTACATAAAAAGAAGAAATTTTTTTTTCAAATCAGTATGATTGAAAACTTGCACTTAAGTAAAGATTCTGAATTAAATGACATTAATGAATAGGTAACTATAATTACTTGTGAAAATACATTCAGTATCGAAAATATCAAAAATTTTGATATTTGTGATTCTTCATATTGAAAATATCGAAATTGCCCTTATTTAAAATGATTCCCCGTACATAGGGATCGAAACTATTGAATTTAGCAGAGAGGTCAGATACTGCAATCCCTATTTACAGGGACTCGTTTTTAAAATAAATTTATAGTTGCTAAATTTATTTTTCTTTTATTCTTTGTTCTATAGCTGTTTCCGTTTACAGAATTACACAACATACGTTTTTAATGGACTCTATAAACATTTGAAAATAGTGTGTGATTGTTTTCTAAATCTTGTGAAAAGCCCTGTTGATGTGCCTGTGAATGGTCTATGACACATTTTGTAATGCTCATCGAATGGTTAACTTGAAGCAAACTGGTAGTAAATCTAAATATTAAATACAGTTTGGAATCTTTGGTGTCAATATCTCCAATAATGTTCAATTAAGAAAAGATTATAATGACATGAAATGCCTACCTATAATAAAACAACATTCATTAATTATTATTTTAACTTTGGTGTAGACTCTTTTTGTTCTTGAGCTGGTAATATTTATTAAATGAAACAAGTCTCAACAGGTTAGAAGCACTGATTTTATTTGTTCATTGACTTTACGCAGGAATGCTTTGTCAGAATACTGCAAAGGGTGTGAAACATCAATAAATAAATAAAATCAGTCAGTCTCATCTAAATTTTATTTAATGAGTGATGTGCGTGAAAACCTAAGAAACAAATATGGTAATATTTATGTTTATGTATAACATTCGTAAAAACTCAACCATTGAATGGTGTGTGGTTATTTAGAACTTGCTCTTTTAAATCATCATTTTGAAGATTATGAAGTTCGAAATATGAACCGCAATGTAACACCAAGATAGTGGTGTGTGTGTGTACACTAAATAGCCTCGCTCCCGGACACCACTCATACAACCTAGGAAAAGTTGCAGTGGAAATACAAAGGTTTGCTCATCAGCACTGTTTGACAGAGACGTAACTGAAAAAAGCTTCTAAGTATTCAGTCTACTCACTCTAATATTAAGGCATTCCTGCAACATATCAACATATATCTCTTGCCGTCCCAGATGCATCCAGGGCTCCGCTAAATTCCTGTGATTCCCGTCACTGTGACAACATCTACACAAACCGTTTTCAAATTTCAATGTATCCAACGACATGCTTATCACAAAATAAATATTAATCACACAACTGTTTTCTTCTAAAATTGTTGTCGTACGTGATAAAAATAAAAAGTACAGTTTTTCTTAAAAATGTAACCAAATTACCAAACAACAACCACAACATCGAAAACAACTTTTTTTTTTGGTCAATTTGTTCCTGTTTGGACGGGCAAAGGATTCTGAGTCCATACAGCCCTGTCTGTAAACTTTTCTTCCTTAAAGTGTTTTGACAGTAGCTTTTACAAATTTGTATAAAGGAATGTAGGTGTCGTTATTTTGTAAAAGTTTTCTCAAGTCGCGCGGGATGGTTTTTCGCCAAAGGTACTACAAAGGTCTTGAAGCAGCAAATTTCTCTGTACATAAAAGAAAAAGATATGGTCCAGGGACTGATTATATTATCTATGTTGCAGAAGTTACAAACAGGTGAGCTGACCATCTTGAGCCGGTACAGGTGATCTTTAAAAAGGTAATGACCTATTCTAAGTGGTATAAAAATATCTTGTTTTGTACTGTCCTCAAACCAAGAGGCACGTATGAAGACTTTTTTTTAAGTTAGGGAGAGCTGTCTGGGAAGGCAAGGGGAACAATGCTCATACAGCCTCGTTTTTAGTTTTATTATTTTATTTTATTGGAATAACAAAATTTATTTCAGTTGATTGTTTTATTTTTCGACATATTTAAGATATAAACTTATTTGTACTGCTTGGGTTTAAAATATCATCAGTGACGTGTAGTAAGAGAATCTCAAAATATATGTATCCAATAATAATATGTTTTTTTTTTTTTTATTAATGTCAACAAAAGGTAAAACAACAATTACAAATTAAATATTTCATCATAATTTTATCAGACTGGCAGCGTTGCCTCGCTGTATCGCCAAACTAATTCTTTGAGCAAAAAAGCTACCAGATCTTGGGTCCCCCGTAGCCTCGCACAGGCGAGCAGTCATGTCCTGAAGAAATACTTTTGCAGCAGGGCCCCAAGGACCCATTGTCTCTACAGCAAAAGGCAGGAAAAAATATGTCTCACCCAAATCCCGGTACTTGCGCCTTTTGTTACACTCAGCTGTTATAGCAGCTGCACAGGGCTCAACTGAGGTCGCATCAATGTGACACGGGGCGAAAGTATCAACGCATGTTGCATCCCAAACCAGACACCTTCCCATACTCCAAGGCATAAGTGACATACCATCTGGTCGTCTGCCATCCGAACGCAATACCCCAGATGGCTCCAAAACTGCAGGTATACCAACAGTAACTACAGCCCTTCGAATGATGTCGTTGATTGACGCATGCCTACCTATACGCCCGGCACTCCTCTGACATGACAAGCCGTGATGTCCCCTTTCATTTACTCGTTCTCCACAGCGGCAACGATGTGGTTCATTTGTTTTGACCCCCAAACGAAGTGCAATTGACATTGAAAGGGTGCAATTATCCAAACACGTACCGATATTCGAAGAAGGGTATGCATGCAACCAAAAACCTGATTCCTTCTCAGACACAGCCAAAAGTCGAGCGCGGTCCACTGTGTTGTCACAGGTATCCATAATTGTTTCAAGTTTTCGTTTACAAATAGGTTCATCCCAATTCCTCTGCGAGTAGAAAACGGTAGGACTCTCACCAGAACACAGCGCCAGCCACTTACTTTTTGCCTCCGAAAGTCCCGAAATCTCAACGGAACCCAGAGATGGGCCTAGAATACTACCGCAAAGAGATTCCGATGCATGAACCGAAGACAAAAAAGCCGGCAGAGCTACATCCGTTGCTGTCCTTACACCAATCCCCCCAAAGCGCACAGGTAGTGCCGCCTGTTGCCAAGCCGGGCCCTCTAAGGAGCAATTCAAAATTCTAGTTAGGGTAATTTTAATAAGATCGTCCAAATTATGCGTAAGGTTTGGGTATTTCCAAAATTGAGAAACACGTAGATTATATGTGAACTTGGGCACAAACAAGCAACATTTCATAATAAAAAGAGCCATGTGAGACTTTATTTCGAAAAGGCGAGACGATTTTTCATGAAATTTTGTTACTTGTTCTTCCACAAACAGAGATATGGATTCGTCAAGTACAGGAGCTCCCAACAAATGAAAAGACTCCTTATCAAGAATCCTAAAACCCGGAACCAGTTGAGTAAATTTTCCTAAAATATCCTTTCTATCATTTGTCCCTACAGTATCATGTATGTACAACTCACACTTCCCAAAGTTCAATTGTAGGCCAATAGACGAAAAAGAATCAATCAAAGATTTTAGGTCGCCTAATACTGTTTCAGCGTCACCACCTAGAGTGCCATCGTCCAAGTACCAAACATTAAATTTGGACTTCAATTTCTGAATGATGCCATGTATTGCCAAACTAAAGATTGCAGGACCTATTGGATCTCCCTGCTGACAACCCACAGAGGACATAATCAATCTTTCGCGGTAAACTAAATTTGATGGCGATCCGTAACATTGCCAAATAAAGGGATACAAAGAAGGCACATGTTTTTGTACTTCACTCAGCAGTATTCCTCTATCGACTGAGTTAAAAGCGTTCTGAACATCTACCTCCAGCCAATTCTAAGTGGTATAATAATGGTGGATTATTAACCACTAAGTGGTTAATAATCCACCATTATTAGACACTAACATTCATAACGCGCCCGCGGCCAACTTCATGCTGTTACTTTTGGGTTACAGTGATGCGCGCGCATCTAAACATTTCACTCTCCTCCTTTTTACATAACGTGCCTAAAGAAGTATAACTTCAAAAACTTCGCATGCTTCTAAACTACCAAAATTCATAAAAAAATTGTACTTAATCAGTCTATTTTTGTTGTAATTGGCTTTTGAAGGCGGATAGGCAAAAAAATATTTGAAACACGATTAAAGCATTAGACATTATTTTATCTACCTTTTTTCATTATTAAGGTAAATTAAACCTAAAAATGAAATTTCAAATTAAATTTAATTGAAATTTCTGTAAAATAACTTTAGCATGTTGAATTTTATAATAATTTCGGTTAAATTTACCATAACAATGATAAAAAGCGTGCTCAAAGCCTCATCCCAATTTGGAGTCACTCAAGACATCCTTGATTAAGGCAGCCGCCGATATTGACATGGACCTCGTTCGTGCTGCGATAGACGACTGGCCGCGCAGATTGAAGGCCTGTATTCAAAATCACGGAGGTCATTTTGCATAAACTTTATCGTCATAAGAATCTATGTTTTGTTAAGTTTATTTTGTTATTTAAATGGTTACATAATGAATAAACTTGTTTCAATTATTTTAAACATGTGAGAGAATTTATGACCTGACTAGGTAGGTACATCTCTATTTTACATATTTTTTTTCCAATGGGAAAACAAGGAAAAATACTTCATTAAAGCCTAAAATAGTACACTATTCTCTTCTCGTTAACCATTATTTACAGTGAGTGCGTTTAATGGTTTTAAATAAATTATTAATAATAAAGATATTCTGATTTAATATAAAACAAAATCAGAATACGCTTATCCTTAACGTGACAACTGTACCCCTAGCACGAACCAATATCGAATTCGTATTGTTTGCGAGTCCGAAATGTCATTGTCAAATGTGTACTGATTTTTAGTTCTCATTACGTACTTTGTGCCGCTGCTGTTCAAGTTTCCATACAAAATTTGACTATGACGGCTATTTGTGCTAAGCTAAGCCGCACTACGGTTTTTCCCCGCAAGCGGTAAACCGCAAAACCGCGAAACCGCCCGAAGCACACACACTACGATTAAAAACCGCGAAACTAGGCACGATTTATCACAGTTTGAGGATGGATTTCAAGAGAGCTGTATGTAATGTTGCTTTAATACTAAGAAATAGAAAAAGAAAACGTCGTCACAAATTTCGTAAATGTATTGTATGAACTACAAATTTTGGCGCGGTTTTTACCCGCGAGCCATTCTATAACAAATAACGGTTTTAAAATCAGTCGCGGGAAAAAACCGCTGGTGCGGCCGCTTGCATTAGTTTCCATGATTCACAAAACTACGCGGTATAAAACCGCGGCGGTTTCGCCGTAGTGCGGCCTAGCAAGTTTATCGAAATTTTAAAACAAAAGAAATAAATAGGGTAAACAGACATTTTATAATCTCAGGACAGTTTATTATTCCAAGTAAAAATATAGGCAACACATTTTTAAATCGAAAAGAAAATTGACAATAATGATACCACTGCGAATATGCCTACTGCCTTAACCTTTAAATTTTATTATTTAAAGTGGTGTTTCGTTAAGTAACATAATTCAAAAAGTCACAAACTCTGTCTTAAGAATATGTAATAGACTTACAAATATTGAGAATTAACCGAGCTCCTGAAAATTCTGATACACTTATCCCGTAGCCTACGAAAACCGAAGAGGTCCGTGGACCACATAAAGAGAACCAAGCTTAGAGCGTTTGTATATTTTTGGTGATATCATACAAATTTGACTCAGAGGAAAATTATTTTACATAATTTAAAAATACTTTAATTAAAATGACTCAAAGAAAAAAATATTTAAATAATTTAAAAATCACTTTAAATATATATATACAAACATTTTAATATTATATGTACAAAATCTAAGCACAACCATTCTCGTAATTTAGACAAACCTCTCATTTTCGTGAGCTCTCATGTGCTCTTTCAGTGTATAACTTCTTGCATAAGATTTTCCGCAAATGGTGCAAGAAAATGGTTTTTCCCCCGTATGTTTCAGCATGTGCTTTTTCAAACCGTGATTTGTAATAAACGCCATAGCGCATTCAGAACATTTCTTATTCTTGTGTCCATGAGTTTGCCTGATATGCGTGGTCAAATAATGCTTTATATTATACTCTCTTCCGCATATAGGACATTGAAACTTGTGTGTTATGTTGTGAACCTCCGACATGTGCTTTATGCGATCGTTGTAATGTTTCATTGGCTTGTAACATATCTGACATTTCATTTGCCTTTTAGAATGAGCGTTCTCCATGTGGTTAGATCTAGAGATCTTCGTTTTCAACACTTTTCCGCATACGGTGCACTCAAAATTGCCAGCTTCATGCGTGCGTTTGTGGACTTTGAGCCGTTTGGTATTTAGGAATGATTTTCCGCATACGTCGCAAATGCAATTCGCGTAATGCTCATTGAGGTGTGTAGTCAAAGTTCTGAATACGTGAAACTCTTGTTTGCATATATGGCAAGAGTAAGGGCTTGCGTCCAGTTTGAAGTCTGCTATACATTCGCTGTATATGACTTTGTTGTGAATCTCGCCGAGGTGGCGGCGCATTTCGTTCACATCCGTTAGATTCAAATGGCAATTCCGACATTCCAAATTAGAAATTTCTATTTGCAGTGAACGCGGATAACGTTTCAGTTTCTTTAGTTCAGAATCAACGTCCGAATGCGCTCTTAGTGTGTGGTCTCTAAGTTGATTCATCTCCACGAAGTCTTGCGAACAGAAGAAGCATTGAAACCAGCTCTTGTGATGTCTAAAGGGGCAAGCAGTCGTTTCTCTAAGAACCGTATGACAAGTCAGCATGCCACGTTTCCGTTCCGAAACACGTTTAACATCATGAATTATTGCAGTTTTTATGAGTATACCTGAAATAATAAAACATTTCATCTGAATCACATTGATAAAAGTAGCTACAACCTATATAAAGCAACACGAACGTGACCACGAAGGGAATTTACCCTAGGGTCAAAAGGCCATGATGCGGGTGAAGCCATGGAAATACAGGTGAAGGAGTACTTTTTTTGGTAATCAGATCAGAATCAGGAGGCAAATTTTGAAATACGCCCGTGGAGGGGTATTAGCCATACATATGCCCGTTTGTCCATAATCATGACATATAAGAATAGAAAGAAGTGTGCAACATTTGGTACATTACAGTTATGTTTTTATGAAGTATTATTATTTCGTACTATTTGTAAGTGAAATTCTTTGCCCACACACGTATTCCCTCCTTCCTAAAATCTGGGGTCCTTTAAGGGAGGCGTGAAGAAGCATTTTTGCAGGCCGGCAAGGTGAGGATGGTTGGTGTAGCAGTTTATGATTGCTGTACCAGCTATATACGCGTTTGGACTTTATCATCACTTAACACCAGGTGGTGGGGTAGAGTCATTTGCCTACCTCGCTTTAAAAAATAAATATGATAAACAGCAGTGATATGTTACGAAACTCCCTCAATTTATTACTAAAAAACCAATGCGCAGCTAAACGTAAATAAACAACCCTTTTAGTATCGCTAAATTACCTTTAAGATCCACAACATCATTTCGAATCTCTTTAATTTCATTTGTTTCAACAACTTGCTCACAAGAACCTAATTTTTTCTTCAACAATATTGAAATCGGAACATCAGAATCGTACTCATTATCTACCTCTATCTTCTTTTTCTTTCGTTTAGTTTTGGTCGACTTAATTTTTTTCCTCTTTGTCTTAGTTTTTTTCTCACTTTTAATTTCAATATGAGTGTGTGACAAATCAAATACAGCATCTTTGTTATCTTCACCTTGAAAAATGTAATATGTGGTAATTTTATAAGGAAACACATTGAAGTCGATTCTGGCATGATTCTCTAGATTTAAAACTTAATTTAATATCAGCCTTTCCTTTTTATTCTATATAGAAAATCACATGGACACACTGTTGGCAAATTCAGGTTTAGGTTTAAGAGAATCACGCCAGAATCGACACCAATATCCCGCTTAAATAAAGTACAGAAAATACTTAATTTGTTCTCTTACCATCGCTTTGAATCAACATATCTTCCGTAACTGAATGCAAATTTTCAGCATGTGCTTTTTCTATTGGAATTGATTTTGCTAAAAAACGATTCATCTTTATCTTTTATCCACACAGCATAAAGGAATTTTAAATGCAAATATTCTTGATGCATATAATACCTTTACTGTCCCAGTACTCAGTGAAGTACTTTGAAGCACAGAGCACCATGTTTCGGAAGGTGCATGCATCACGAAGATGTCCCACACATATTGAGCAAACCATTCGGCTGGGTCCCCAATCTGCCACATGCGACAGCTGTAAATATATCACGATTCTATAATTTCATACTGAAATATAAATTATAAGTATACCTTCTACCTACCGGCTAGGAAAATAGCAAAAATTTAATGAAAACTAGAAATTTTGAAATCAGGATGATTCCTTTGAAAATTATGACGCCGAAATGACGCAACTGAGCGATAAAAAGGGAATTATGGAAATCCATCCACTAAGAGATTGTTTCATTCATTTAGTCTTAGTGCAGTTCAGTTACTAATCACTAAACTTAATATGTATGAAAATTTAAATGTAGGTATACTTATGACTGCAGTTAAAAAAATTGTTTTTTTTTTACAATAAATAGGCTTATGCTTGACGGCCACGCGACTGATGAAGAGCGACGTAGCAGCCTAAGGTGGGACGCGCTTGCCTAGAAGAAACCGATTCACTCGCGACTTGAAGAGCCCCAGATTATAGGTGACTGGAAACAGAGATTCCGGCAAAGAGTTCCACAACCTAGCTGTTCTGACTATATAGGTGGAAGCAAACCGTTAAGTACGAGTTTGCGGGACCTCTACGGTATATCTGTGGCGTTTTGCCGTCTCTCTGGTGGTTCTATGGTAAAAAGGTGAAGGTGGAATTAAGTTATGTAACTCCGAAGTACACTCTCCGAAATGTAACCGGTAAAAAACCGATAAAGAGGCAACTTGTCGCCTGTGTTCAAGACTTTGGAGTCTAGTCTCGAATAATTTGTCGTTACCGATGAGCTTCTTTGCACGCCTCTCAATGCACTCCAGAGACTCTAGCTGATATTTTGCAGAACCGTCCCAAAGGTGCGAACAGTACTCCATGCACGAGCGAACTTGCGCTTGGTACAAGGTGAGCAGCTGTTCCGGAGTAAAGAACTTCCGCACCCTTGCGAGGACGCCAAGCTTTTTTGCAGCCAGTTGAGCTCTGGACTCAATGTAGGTACCGAAGTTGAGAGTTCAGGTGAGACTTATTCCTAGAAGCTCGAGCTGTTCGGTTACCGGCACGGTTACACCTCGGAAAGAAGGGGCCAGTTGAAACGCCCTCGTTTTAGCGGAGAACAGACACGCCTGAGTCTTAGAAGCATTAAACTTGACCAGATTGGCATCGCCCCAATCGGAGACTGCCTGAAGGGACAAGTTTAAGCGGCTGACCATGGCAATCTCGGAGTGATTGAACTTCGGCCGCACTGGCACGCGCATTTGATATATAGCTCTCTACGACTGTGCTATCGTCTGCATACCCAAAGGTACCGGGTTTAAACAGATCGTTGATCTGGAGCCAAAAAAGAGTTGCAGAGAGTACCGACCCCTGCGGAACTCCGGCATTAACAGCCTTTCGATGTGATTGGCAGCCATCTATAACTACTCTTATAGACCGATCACGCAGGAAGTCAGATATCCAGGCGCATAGTGCCACTGCACTGCAAGCCGTACGAAGGAAGTTTGCTTATAAGGCCATCATGCCAAACCATGTCGAAAGCCTTCGATATATCGAGAGACACGGCCAGCGCTTCTCCGTCCTTCTCAATGGCTTCACTCCAAATGTGAGTAGTGTACACTAAAAGATCCCCAGTGGACCGATTTCGGCGAAATCCGAATTGTCGATCACTGAGGAGGTCATTCGCTTCTAGGTACGCTAGGATCTTGTGGTTCAGAACACATTCCATGCTCTTACAGAGTAATGAAGTGACAGATATTGGTCTGTAGTTCGCAGGGTCGGCATGACTACCTGTTTTGGGCACCGGTTGCACGTTAGCAAGCTTCCAGGATTTAGGCACTTGTCCAGTTTCCAAGGAGAGCCGGAAGAGGCGTGTCAGAACAGGAGACAATTCAGGTGCACAGGTCTTCAGAACTATTGCAGGAATACCATCAGGGCCACTGGCTTTGTTCTCGTCAAGATTGCGTAGGACTTTACGCACCTCCGCTTGGCGAATGCGAATGTTCGACATCGCTGTCGAGCAGCCAAATGATGAGGGAGGTACCGCGCTACCAGCATCAAGACTCGAGGCTTCCGCGAATTGAGAGACAAAAAGATTTGCTTTCTCTTCAGCAGTGTGAGCCAGAGTCCCATTAGGCTTCTGCAGTGGAGGCAGTGAGGGACGGCAGAAGTTCGCCTCGACCGATTTTGCCAGGGACCAAAACGCTTTATTACCTGTCGGATACGATGCAAGTTTGTTCCCAATCCAGCTAATATGGTCAAAGCGAGCCATCTGTAACACCTTCTTGCAGGCCTTGGCAGACCTGTTATGCGCTTGTTTTTTTTTGGCGTAAATCATTTGCTTTGCGGTGTCGAGCATCGGCCCAGGCCAGATAAGCCTCATGTTTTTGCGCTTCCGCACGAGCACACTGAGGTCCAAACCAGGGGCGAGCTTTGCCGGACAAAGGTAAATCCGAGTATGGGATAAAGTACTCCATACCCAGTGTGAGTACATCAGTCACGGCATCCGCGCAAATTGAAGGGTCGCCAGAGGTGAAGCATACAGGTTGCCAAGGATAGGACGCAAAAAACGACCGCATTCCATCCCAATCAGATCATTCGATCTGGGATCGGGCGAAGAGTAGACAGACACAGATTTCACCAGACAGTGGTCGGACTTACCTAGGGGCGAAGAGACCGACACTGAGTATCGGTCTGGATCTGTTGTCAGGAAAAGGTCCAAGCAATTAGGTGTTTGAGAGTCAGTGTCAGGTACCCGTGTAGCTCCTCGGACTAGCTGGGTGAGATTTAAAGCTAAAGCGAGCTTTCGCGTCTCTCTTCCGGCATGGTCAGTGACCCGGTATGAGAATAGCCACTCTTGATGGTGTGCATTAAAATAAAGGGCGTGCTGCCGCTGTTGGACCTTTTTTCTATTTCCTTTTTTCATATCGTGAGCATTTGTTCGGTGGGAAAACGGAAGTAGAATGTAGGATTTGGCGTCAGTACCGCTACCAGTAGACACTCACATACACTGTGCATCTTATGGGGAACTAGTTCGGAGACTGCGGGGACGCCCGAGCCCCCCCGGGAGTGTCCATCGGGCCCTTTCGTCCGGTCGCCAACCGGCACGATGGCGCATCCCGGGATTTTTGAGTTGGCGGGGCAGCCTATCATGAGTGGCTAACCCATTACTTGGGCCCCCTACTAACTGCGGTCGGCCAGCGGTGCACCGCGCCTCGGATCCCGCTACCCTCCGAGACTAGTTACCCGATGCAACAATGATGCGTACACCTAAAAATCGGCACTGCAGTACTGGAGCGACCATTCTGACCCGATCTTCCCAAACGGCGTCACCGGACTACGCACCGGAACACAGCTTGGCTGCTTGGCGGCGCGACTTAGTCCGGTGGGTGGTCACTAGCCTCGGCTATTGCCTACCACCAGTGGGTTGTCGCCTGATTTGCACCACCCAGGGACCACGTGTGGGGTAACAGGGAAAAAAAATACGGGGTTTACACCCACGGACGAGGGCGACTCGGTCCCCAAAACCCTTTCGAAATGAAGGTTAAAAAAGAGATTAATTATCAAATTGATATACGAAAATGGTATTTTTTTAAGATGAAAGTAAATAAGAAACTTAGTTATATTATGTTAGGTCAAAAATATGAAAACTGTTCATGGAAAATATAAGTAAGAATTTAATTTGATAATAAAAAGTTCAAATTAATTTAAAAACACAAAGTCCAATTTTAAGTTAAACTTTGTTAATTTTAAGACTTAATATCAATACTTCATAAATAAAAAATAGTGAATATCATATATAAAATAAATTTAACGTATACCTAAAAAATACTTTCTCACTGTCACCCTAGTGCAAAAAACTCTGAAGTAACTGTACGGGACGCCGGGCTGTCGCAGTAGCGGACAGTTACCGACTCGTACTGAGGGGGTGGAGGAAGTTACACGCAGGAGTCTTGACTGTAGTGGACTGTAGTTTCGGCGAATAAAACCCCTGGTGTTCGGTATTGAAGAAATCGGTGGGCGCTGATAATGGATGGCCGGTGAGAGGAGGCTTCAGGTCCAGAGTGAACCGCTTGGTTGTTTCTTCCTGTTCCTCAGGGTAGGAGCGCCTGTCGCTGAATGCATGTCGGGGCATGTTCCGACTCGAATTTTATATGCTAGGACTGAGCTGGCCAGCGATCCATTACCTCACCCATGCTATACTTTATTTTTCATTTTCTCAAGATTTACAATAGTGCGAGCTTAAAACTAATTGTACATACATCGGGCATACATTTGGGCATATTTTTAACATAGTTATGTGTCCGTAAACACGATATTTTAGGTGTGGCGCGCAAAAAATAGGTCTCCGCAATATTTATACTTTCCCCCTCCATAGGGCTTCGCCCTGCCACGGGGCTTCGCTGCCCCACCCGCGCGCTCCGGGCGCGCCGGGTGGGGAGCGCAACATGTCTCAGAAAACGGTTCTATACAAACATGTTTCTTCTCCTACACAGTACATTTTTACACTTATTGATGCGATACCTATTTATTTACGTAGCCCTACGTGTTACCTATCTAATACAACAAGTTTCTTACAAGAATATTAATAAACAACAGCTGTACGGCCCTATAAAGTTTGCAAATTAAAAAGTCTTAAAAAACCTACTTATACTCGCTTAATGTCTAACTATCATACACCATTTTAAAGAAGAAGTAAAAACACATAAAATGACATCATTATTATAACAATTATACCTATATCCTATTGACTATTCATAAAAAACTATTCCCGATATTTTCCTTAATTACGCTTAAACTACTAACACGATTCATACAAAACTTCGATATATTATTCCTATAACTACCTACTATCTAATAAGACATAAAATAAATCAATCAAAACATAAAACATACTATTATCGAAAATTGTCAACTCAGGCAAAATCCTATAAGACGTGTGACAAGGACAACCTATTGTCTCCGTCCCTCCTATAGGTCGGAACTATCAGTATTCTGACTAGTTTCCCCGCGCCACCGCTTGGCGTCGTGGCGATCGTTTAGATAAAGTCTTATAAGATTATTGGAGAGAACGGGGCGGAATATCGCTCTGAACTATCAATTTTACAATGGTTTACTATGGGCAGAGCTATCTATTGTTGCGATATCCGACTCATTCTAATAAGACAACAAGGGAATGATATTTTTAATGCGTATACAACTAATTCATGTGAAATTATAGATACATTTTTTACATTAATCTCATATTGTCGTAAGTCACCTCTTCTCGCTTCGGTCGTAAGGCGGTCGTCTCGTACAGTAACAAAAATTTTCAATATAAATTTTTATTTATATATATAATAAACGCCGCTAACCGCTAATAAATTTTAGTAGAAAAAAATTGGATGCAGTCAAGGCAGCAGACGGGACTCGAACCCGCACCCTCGGCTAACCAGGCGCAGTTATATTTCTTTTTTCAAACTTTTAATGCCTCAATTACACTTGGTCGTTGGCCCGTATTCGGGTGCTCAAAAGACATTACTCGAATTCGGGAACTCTAAGCAAATTTTTACTCCAATCATTTACACTTTCGATTTACTCCGTTCGTTTATAATGCGATTCAAATAAGAATAGGAAAGCCAATGACCTCTATCTGTCAAATGTCGCTTGAAAAGTACGGTTTGCAAAAAAATCTCGGAACACTTTTTTAAGCACTCAGCTGATTGTAGACTAAAAACCAAACATTTTTAAACAAACAATAACAAATGTTGATAATTAATCTTAGTTGTTTTTTTTTCATTTATTGAGCTTTGGCTATGAATGGTTGATAACCTAAATCGTCAACCAAATGTCACTTTGTTGCGTTAAAAACTCGATTTAAAACTTTCGTTTACATATAGGATGCATGTTCGTATGTGACCTGCATATTATTCATAACTTCTCCGGTGGTAATGCAGAGATGAGCGAAATTGAAGAGCTAGATTCTGATTAATGTTTTTTTCACACAGTCTTAATAAAGAAATACTATTAAAAATCAGTTGTGTTCTTTCTCAACCTTAGTAAATTAATTTTATTAGAAATTTGATGTTTTTTCTCACTTAATCTTAGTAAATAAGTTTTATTAAATAGCAACATTTTTTGCTCACTCTACCTATTTGGTTTGAATTGACAGCTATGACGTCAAAATATGGCGCCCAGTCGGTCCTATTCTTAGTTGAATCGCATTATACCTGGATTCCATTGGCACTCGTATTCGGTCTAAAGAGCAAATGTAATCGCTCCATAATAGGTACTTCTGAAGGTATTCGTTTGACATTGTGGGCTATCTACAATGTAAAGATGTGACGCTGTTTTGCAGCCTAAGAAATACTAGAACAAAATTGACACGGCCATTAGGCCTTTTTTTTATACGCAGGCAAAAAATACTATTTACAGACGACGACGCCTTTAAGAGGCACACCGCCGAACAGACCTCACACCTGGCTCCCGCAAGCCTTACAAGCCCCAGCAGTGGCTACCCACTGAGGACCCCGTAACTCTTACGGGCGCTTTACGGTATAATATACGCTAAAAAACTCTGCGAATACCCTCTAAGCTGCTTAGCGCGAAGCCGCGGGATCCCCGTTTAGGGATTCTTCCGCGTCTACGCACCTAGGCCCGGCCTAGCCGGAGCTCCACGGTAGGTGTCTCCCGGAGTATCGCGGGGACCTGCAGACGTGCGCAGGATACGTCTGGGGGCTGAGTACGCGGCCTAGTGCCCACTGTACCACCCCCCATCCGCTGCGGAGGGCTACTTGGGCGTGCCCGTGTAGCTCCCTCCGCCCCCCTCTTTGCAGGACAGAACTACAGGCGGGGGGGGGGGTTCTGCCGTCACGGGGTCCGTCGGTGGCCGGCACAGCTGAAATTTCGACGAGGCCATCAGGGCCGTGGTAGCATAATTGGTCAGTGCATGCCCGGATTGCGAAGGGTGCGGGTGGATTATTTTTTAGTAAAATTTTCTTTAGATTTAATTTTTTTGTTAGTTCAGAGCTTTTTGCACAAGGGTGACAATGAGAAAGTAAGGGTTCCGTTTTTTCCTTTTGAGGTACGGGACCTTAAAAACATGTATAAAAAATTGAAAAAAAAAAACAGATTAATTTCAGGAAAATAGTCGTCCTATAATAGTAGGCAGTAGGATAATAAGTAACCAATAGAGAAATAAAAGATTTATATCAATTATAATATGCATTAATTCAGTGTTATTATTATTTACAAATCTTTATATATACAGGGTGAAATTGAATGTTTCTATGAAACTTCGTGAGATTGTTGGGTTACATGTATAGAGTATACCTGATTTTTTTCGGATTTTTTAATATTATTTTTTTCGTTTTTTATTTTTTTTTATTTTGCATTTTTATGTCCTTTCCTCCTTTTGAGTGATAATTATTTTTAAACACGTATTTATAGTAAGTGAAATATAACAAATAAATAAGCACTACTAAAATAAACGAAAAATAGTTGATATGGCCAGGCGAGGCCGACGCCGGGGGCAACGACCGCGCGCGCACAGCTGACGCGGCGCGTACCTATCTACAGTACAGTGAGACTACGACCTTGAGATACTGTGTTCATACTAAACAGCATCTCAAGATCGCTCTCAGAGTTGAGATCGTTCTATTCATACGGGCCTTAGATGTCATATTACAATGACAAAATTTAAATAAAGAACAAGTGTTATCTTCTCATTAGCAGAGAAAAATACCTAAAAAGTTAATAATAATTTTGTTACAAAAACAAATACTTATTGCAGTTTAATACTTGTGTCAGAAAGAAATTTATAACTAGGTATTAGACAGTACTTACGAGACCGGCGATGTAGGTGTTCATTACAATAAAATAGTCTTAGATGCTATATTATAATTATTTATTCACTGATACACAATACCTTTGAATATTGTTTCATAAAGCACAGGTAATTAATCAATAAAATAAATCTTCTGTTAGAGCAATTAAAAATCCTATAAAGTTAATATGACTGTCACGATTTTAAATCGGTAAAGCCTGTCTGTTAGTATAAGAACTTCTTTTTTATTGTTAATGTTAGTTGCCTCGTTTAATTAAAACTTAAGCACAAACGGCTTATTAAATTGGGAAAAATCATACAGAGCAATATAACTTACGAGCTTAGTGAAGGAAGGAACTCTTCGTGTCTGATTTGCCCACGTCATGAAATTCCCAACACATTTAATCACAGCCACAGTCACACATACACACACACACACATAATAATATGTTGTTTTACGGCAAGCACGGGCGGGCGGCGCGCCGCACGCTGGCAACTAGCGCCGGTTGCGGCGTCTTTGATGATGTGAATTCCGCCCACCTCCCCTCTTCCCCGCGCGCGGTGGTTTGCTTTGATTGCATGCAAAACGCAGTCGCAAGTATATCAATCGCGCGTGCGCGTGCGCATCTTTTGACTTAGTGACATACACTGTGATAATTTCATTATGCCTCGGTATACGAACCAAAAATACCTATTTAGAGATGGTGTACTGCTATCGCGAGTGTGACGAAGTAGGTTTGGTTTACGAATGAGTCCCCAAACCATAGAAGTTGCATTTTGTGCAGTGAGTAGTGATAGGGACACTTTAAAAAAGGTGAAAAGACACGTCCGCAAACATGCCTACCTTTGTTTGCAGCAAAATGGTGGTTTAAAGCAACAATTTTGCAGATAATAATTTAAGTCTCTTTTTATTGCTAATGTAAATACTTTTTGATTAGAAACAACTAATTGTGTACTACCAGTGTGATTGATTTGATAAAAAGTTCTAGTGAAAAAAATGAATATGTTCTTCGTTCCTCGTTGTACCTACTTACATCGCCGGTCTCGTAAGTACTTTTGAATACCTGGTTATAAATTTCATTCTGACCCAAGTATTGAACTGCAATAAGTATTTCTTTTTGTTTAACATTTGCCTATTTCCAATCGTGACAAAATTATTATTAACTTTTAAAGTTTTTCTCTGCTTAAGAGAAGATGACATTTGTGCTTATAATTTCAATTTCAATAAAGGCATCTAAGCCGATTTTATTGTATTGTGTTTAATCAAACGAGTCAGCTGAGCTCTGTGTAGAGCTATGTACCTATTCACTCAACGGCTGGCGGGCGCGGTCGGTCGTTGACCCGCGGTGGAATTTTAATGTTTTTCCGTTTTTTAGAAGTGCTTATTTATTAGTTGTTGTTGTTGTTGTCACTGAATATGTAAGTTTGTTTGTTTAAAATGAATAACTACTCAAAAGGAGGAAAGGACATAAAAATACACAAATTATAAATAAATACATAAAAAAAATATACTCCAAAAAAATCCGAAAAAAAACAGGCATACTCTATACACATAACCCAACAATCTCACGAAGTTTCATAGAAACATTCAATTTCACCCTATATAATTCTTCTGTGAGTGTGTATGTCACTGAACTTCTCTTAAACGACTGGACCGATTTTGATGAAATTTTTTGTGTGTGTTCAAGGGGATCTGAGAATGGTTTAGATTCACAATTTTGTCCCTATTTTTTTAGGGCGGTACGAAGTTCGCTGGGTCAGCTAGTACACTAATAATTTTACTTCATAATGAGTGAGGAATTTTGAAATAGCCCATGCAACACATACTCTCTCATTACAATTTTTGTAGTCATATCTACATAACCCTGCCTGGTGCCGATGGGTTTGATTTTGATTTGTGCAACCTCTCATCATCATCATCATCAGTCTATGAATGCCCCCACTGCTGGGGCACAGGCCTTCCCTATGGATGGAATAGGGAGATAGGGCCCAGTGCGGATTGGCGGGTGCTAACGACTGCAGATGCAGCCGGGACCAACGGCTTAACGTGCCTTCCGAACCACGGAGGAGCTCAAGATAGTAAATTTTTGGTCACCCATCCAATGACCGACCACTGCGAAAGTTGCATAACTTCAACGATCGCAGCTGCGCTAACCACTTGCGCCATCGAGCTCCTCTCAGAGCAACTTCTCATTTGCTCTTATTGGGTGTGTTGGGTTGGTCTTCTCCCTCTGTCAGCGCAGAAGAATGCAAATGTCAAAAACACTGGACAATGTTTGCACCATGATCAAATGGTCCTTACACTTCATATCACAGTTGTCATATTTCGTTGTGATACCGTAGATTGACCAGCTACGGAATATGTCCAGGATCCAGGCCTTGAATCCACAACAAATTGTTATATTGATGATGGCTTGCAATCTGCTCATCTACAATAGCTCTTCTGAGAAAGCTCAAAGTCCCACATTGAGCAATGAAGAGAGTGTATTCCCTATGCAATACAAATCAGAAATGAGAAATCCATAGGAGAACTAAATTAACCCTTTTTTGCTCTGCTGAAGTGGTAATGGGCGAGTACGTAGCGAGGAGAACATATAGCATTTGGGGCAGAAAGGTCCTTGAATTGCGATCACGCACGGAACGACATTCAGTGGGCAGGCTCATCACCAGGAGGACCAATGATCAAGTGAAGGTCTGAGAAGCTGATGGATGCGAGTGGAGAAGGACCTGTGTGGAGACCCATGCTCAGCAGTGGGCTTCATACGGCTGACATGATGATGATGACCACCAGGAAATTACCGTCCTGGATGACGTTTACAAACCATGCAATGGTACGTTTGACTTGAAAAGTATTATGAGCTTCAGGACAATCCTATGTATTTATATTCTATATTTTTTAAGTTTTTCCATGTTTAATCATGATTTGTAGGTCTTTGTTCAATATCCTTGAGGGAGTCTTGAAGGTGAAAATTGAGGATAATAATTATGTCTCTTTGGAAAATATTCAGAGTATCATTATGCTCTCATTGAACTAGGGTATAAAGATAAGATCCGCAACATAAAAACAGTATGATATACATATCATGATCGTAATCACTTAGGTGATTTAAATTTTATGTACTGCTAATCTGTTATAACTACGGTTGCCAGATTGGCTGGACTTGGCTGGATTGTCCAGCAATTTCACACGTTGTCCCGTGTCCCGGTTTTAGGCAAAATGTCCAGCTAAAATGAAGCTGAAAATTAAAAACCACCAGTATTAGTGGGTTTTCCACCGAGTTGGCAACACTGGCTCTGCTGCGGCCTCTCGCTATCTATGCCTGGGATTGAATTCAAAAATTCGATTGAACATAGACGAAAATTGTACTTTTAAATCTTTTCTAAATACAGATAAAGGTTCTAAAATGATAAATGCGACTAAAGGAAATGCTAAATATATGTGGCAGAAAAAGTGTTTGATAAAGGTTCCTCTGTTTTGTAATAGTAAAAAAAATATGATAATGCTGATTAATGTATGTGGCAAAAAAGTTATTTCATATTAATTTTGTTTAATTTAGGTTCCTCTGTTTTGTAATAATAAGAAATTTTTATAGTCATGCAGATTTTTTTGTCCAGCCAAAAATCCTAATTTCCAGATATTTTATAATATTGTCCAGAAATTTTGATTTCTCAATCTGGTAACCCTAGTTATAACCATTTGCCCCTTATAAGCCTACTGTCCTAAGTATAGTACAGTACACATACAGTACATTAGTTTTATGTAGTTTTGTATATATTTATTACAAAATTTTAAAATCTTACAAAAAATAGTTATATGCAGTAATAATTAAAAAAAAAACATATTTTAAAAATATTATTTAAGGTTACATGTACAATTATGAATATTTTTACATTTTACAATGGAATACTTAGGAGAAAAACAAAATAAGTAGAATTTTATAATTTTAATACAATGCCTCAAAGTATAAGAGTACTGTATATTTATTACATTTCCTTAGGCCTACTTAACCAGGTATTTAGACATATTTTTTTTAAAAGTACCGCCCTAAATATGGGACAGTATGTTTAAATGAGTTAAGACAGGCTTACAAGCCTTGCTAAATGCATGCAAAAAGTATAGAAGCTGGCACAACATCTTAAGTTTTTCTTACATGTATGAGGAGCTCTATTTTAATAAGTTTTTAGTTTTCAAACTTACAGTTATCCCGTAACAGTCTTGTAACATATCCGAATAAGTAAAATTGCTTCCCGATTCAGTAACGTATGAAGATGTTACGTCCCATGTTCCGCTAGCTGATAAACAGCAGCGACACACGTCCGGCCGGGACACCCAATTAGTCATATTCTGGGCATCCATTTCATTTACAATTTTTATTAAAGTTCTCATTAAAGCCGCATTTGCGATTTACTTCGCAATCGCTTTTGTTTTGATTTATTTGACAAACAGCTGTTGTTTTTTTTTGGTTAATTTGTCTCTTTTGGGACGGGCAAAGGATTGTTTTTTTTTTCGTTCTGTGACTGTTTCCGTTTTACACAGAAATTTCGCCAATGTCCCGTAGTGAGAGAGACACGATATGAGAAAAGATTGCTCGATATTTATACAAATAAAGATTGCCCATTTTTTTTGTCTCCTCCCAGGCGGGGGGCGGGTGAGAAATCCTAATGGATACCCTACAGCTGGCTGCAAGGTTATGTCAGACTCGTACTGACTAAAAAACTACTTTACTACCTTACCAGAAATAATGTAAAAATGCTAAAGCACACGTAAAAACTGAAGCAAAACCAAATAGGACAATAAATGATACTGGTGTCGATTCTGGCAAGATTCTCTAAACTTAAAACTAAATTTAACATCAGTCTTTCCTTTTCATTCTGTATAGAGAATGATAAGGATATACTGCTGTCAAATTTAATTTTAGGTTTAGAGAATCATGCTAGAATCGACACCACTGTTGTTAAATTTATGTTTAGGTTTAGAGAATAATGTCAGAATCAACGCCACTATGGTATCTATTCTGGCATGATTCTCTAAACCTAAACTTAAATTTGAAACCTTGTCATTCTCTAAACTGATTAAAAAGGAGAGACTTAATGATAAATTTAGTTTTAAGTTAAGTGAATCTTGCCAGAATCGACACTTACGTCTATGCTATTTATAGTCGCGTTACATCACTATCCACATTTTTTTATAACAAAACTTGAAAACACCGCATCCATCAAAAAGTGTGAGTCGATAGCAGAACATTATCATCGTATCTCTTTGGTCATAGTGTTTGTTCTCTGATCACTTATTGAGAGAATAGATTTTCTCTTCTTGGCTGTTCCATGTAAGTTAATTTTATTTTGATAGGAAGCTCTAGATTGCCAACCACATACCTACTTTTTTAGGAAGGTACCTAAATAATTTATTTATTTATTCTAATTACTACGGCAAAATACCATTTACAGCAATTAGTAAAAAAAAAAGAAAACAAAGAATTACAAACATGAAGATTCACACTCATTTTTCTCGCAAAACAATAGGCAGTCATACATTATTTTATTCCATCCATCTGATAATAATAATATAGAAGTTAGGTATTATCAGGAGGTCTGCAACATATTATCGAAATAAAATAATCGTTGTTCGATATAGATCGAATTTCGAATGAAATATTCATCAAAAATTGGTATTGTCGGTATCTAAAACGATGTGCTCATAGTGTCCGTCATGCTAGCATATCGAGTTTTAGGTTGTTACTAATTCTAATAAATAGTGCCTTATAATAGTGCAATAATAAAAAAAGAATCTTCCTCTTCAGTTAGGTGTACTTCTTCTAATTTTGAATTTTTGACGTAACATTAATGTTTTTTATATTGTCTTTTTCCTGGGAAGGCAAAGGAAACAAAACCCATACAGCAACATTGCAATGTTTTAATATATTTTTAAGGAGATTATACAGACGTCGATATTTCTTTATGGTGCCTGATTGTCAGGAATCGGGAAGGCCCCTAACTCCTCTTCCCACGAAAACAAATACTAACTTTTAGTTTAAATTAATGTTTTAAATTTTGAGGATAAAAATCAACAAACATTTAAATCATTTTCAAATTCCTTGCATTTGCACTCTAATGCCAGTGTGTAAATTACATTTGAATTACAAGGCCTTGATTTCGAGACTGGTATACAAAAACGAAAGTTATATTTTATCTAGTTATATTTGCTTTAGATTTAAACATCAAGCAGTTACATGCATAAAAAATAAAAAATATAAAAACGAAATTTGTCAACTTTAGCAAGTTAGTGTTAACAAGTTAACGGGAAACTATCAATTTGTCATTCGTTGTATCTCCTCGTCTCCATCTACCATGCATGTGTCAATTTGAGTTTGTAAAATTTTTCTTCGCGACTGGATTTACTTCCTAGAAGTTGACACCAGTATTTTTTATTTATCCGCAGAATTTTACCCATTTTTTAAACATGTATCATATGTTAAAACAGAAGTTCGCTTTTTATAGGCACTATTTGGGGTACGCTACCATGACACCACCTCCAAAGGTTATTTATAAGTCTTGTTCTATATCTTTCTTCCCAAGAGCAACGATTATGAAATTTTACTTACTGAGGGCACTATAAGGGCACTATTTACAGTTTGTCTATAAAGTCGTGACATGAATGTTTGAGGAACTAACATTATTCATGTGTCTGGCAACACCAAACTTATGTACATCAGCTGTCATAGAGTTTCAGTTGTGGAACAGTTTTCCTTATGTATTTGTTATTGTTTGGATTAAACTGTAATAAATTAAGACGAAACTACGCAGAAAGGTATAAAAATGAGTAAAGTAAATCGGAGTGGCACGCGGGAAGTGATTTTTAAGGTTTTCCAGCGATGTTTCGAAGACTACCAAGCTGGACGAATTTTGTGGGATTTGGACGATGTTTATGGGCGAACAGCATCTATGACGGGTATGTAATCGTGTAACTATTTGTTTGTAATCTGCCTGAAGTTACAAATTTACTCAATTTACGATTTTGAGACCAAAAAAGGCATTCTTTACATTGCACATTTTTAGGTTAGATTGACATTGTAAATAGGTAATATTGTAGTACGACCATTTCTTTTGATACGTTGTTATGGTTCAACTCGGTCACGTTTTCTACCAATTTTTAATTAATTGCTTCATGTCAATAAGTTATTGTTTCTATTCCGTTACATATTTTTTTACTTTTTTTCAGGAAAATCAGAGAGTCGGATAGTCAACGAAGGTTTTAAGAATGATGGAAAGTTTGAAACTCCTGGGAAAACAGGCAAGGCAGACCAAAGAAAGAAATGGTCACATAAAGAACCATGGCCAGATGCTTTTAGTGAAGATACTCACTAATTTTACTAACTGCACATTTACAAATAGTTTCTCTAAATAAACTTTTTATATACTATAAAATGATTTTTCGTATTATTTTCTTAACAAGTGTGTTAAAAAACGTCGTATGATGATACTTGTGTGTATTGATGATTACCTAACGGCTCTGATCTCAATGGCACTTCAGCAGTAATCACCAACATTACACACTTTTACACTATAAAGTACTATTTTATCTATAATAATTTTATTCTGACTCAATTAAATATGCTTGGCTAAACTTTTTATAAGCATGGGTACCTACTATATATAAAACAAAATACGGCTGTATAGTGTGTCTTATTAATTACCTATTTTACTTAAATGAACTGCTAGTATCAAAATCATTTTGGTCCGACTGTATAGGGTTGTTAATGTCACGACTTTATAGACAAACTGTAGCTGCATAACAATAAGCCGTTCTCGAGACTGGCCTGGTGTACGCTAACTTGACTGTCACGCCAGCGTACAACCAAAAACAGTTACTATTTCCTAAACTAAAGAGAAAGACTTTTTTATTATTGCAGTAATTAGGCATTATTTACGCAGTATTTAATAGCATAAGTAACAACCTAACGCCGCAGTGTCATCACTGCAGCGCCCCGGACGACACGACCGAGCACACCTTGCTGGAGGAGTGCTCGGCCTGGCGGCAGCAGCGCCGCGACCTGATTGCGGCGCTGGGAGGCGGAACCCTCTCGCTGCGGAGCATGGTAGAGGCCATGCTCCGTAGCGAGTCGGCATGGGAGGCGGCTGCCTCCTTCTGCGAGAACGTTATCTCGCAGAAGGAGGCAGCCGAGAGGGAGCGGGAGGATGATCCCCTGGCCGCTCCCTCCCGCCGAAGAAGAGCGGGCAGAAGAGGACGAGTGCGTGCCCTGGCTACGCCCGTCCCATGACCCTGCCCGCGGGGATCCCTGGCTGGCCGGTACGGCGCATTGAGCCGTGCCGGCCACCGAGGGATCCCGTGACGGCAGCCCCCATCTTGTAGTTCTGTCCTGCAAAGAGGGGGGTGGCGGAGGGAGCTACACGGGCACGCCCAAGTAGTCCTCCGCAGCGGACGGGGGGCGGTACGGTGGGCACTAGGCCGCGTATTCTGTCCCCACGCGCGGGCCATCCTGCGCACGTCTGCGGGGTCCCCGCAATACCTCGGGAGACCCCTGCCGTGGAGCCCCGGCTAGGCCGGGAGGCTGCTGGGTGCGGAAACGCGGAAGAATCCCAAAACGGGGATCCCGCGATTTCGCACTAAGCAGCTTAGAGGGTATTCGCAGGGTTTTTTAGCGGACATTATGCCGTAAAGCGCCCGTAAGAGTTACCGGGTCCCCAGTGGGCAGCCGCTGTGGGGGCTCGTAAGGTTTGCGGGAGCCAGGTGTGAGGTCCGTTCGGCGGTGTGCCTCTTAAAGGCGCCGTCGTCTGTAAACAGAGTTTTTGCCTGCGTCACAAAAAAAAAAATAAGTAACAACCTCGAACTCACACGACACACACGAACTCGACACGAGCTCATATCACTTAAATTATTGAAATTGTGATATGATTTAACCGTATTCATTCCTGTTACAATGCTTTCTTTTGTTTAATGTTATTAATAAATTTAATGATACTATTTAACAACAAAAAATATTATTTGGTTTAGAAAATAGGTAGCTATATATTTTAAACTAATATAACTTTGTTTTTATCAATATCGCCAGGATGCCAGACTTTAAGTTAACACTCTCTTAAGAATATATTTCGCAAACATTTTCTCCAGAATTACGAATGTAGCTGTTTATTGTTAAAAATAAAAATATAAATTTCTTACAATTCTATTTGTAAAATATTTTATATTCATTCGACATTGTGAATGCACAATTCTAAGTGATGGCGCTGCCTTTTAGGCTAAAAATACTAGAGTATATTCGAAACGGTCATATAAATTTTGGTAGCATAGGGGTTAGTGCCGGATAACGCAAGCGCAGTTTCGATCCCCGCCTGACCTGTAAGTCCTGTAACTGGGTGTATTCTTTTCTAGAAATGAATTTCTTGAGTTACTCTTATTATTTGCTACTATTATTGTACCTACATCCATATTGAAGGCTGTTTTTATTTAATATTACAATTACACAAGAATGAAAGTTTTCATTCTTAGCCAAATCGATGTCGGCTAGAATGAAGTTCAGTGTGCAACTCAGAATCATTACTTCTAGAAAAAAATCCATCAGACCAGGCAGCAGACGGGTCTCGAACCCGCACCCTTTGCTATCCGGGCGAATGCACTTTTTCTAGTTATATTTTCTTTAGATTTGAACATCAAGCAGTTACATACTTAAAAAAATAAAAATTATAACCATTATTCCTGCTTATTTACAGGTGTAATTGTCTTTTCGGAACGTTCTACGTACTGATTTGTACATATTGATTGAATTATTAAAATAGTACTTACCTAATCAATATGCGAAACGTTGAGATAAAAGCGAAAATAACAGACTTTAAAATTATTTGTGAGAAAGCCGAACAGCTCAGTGGAGGGCCACCAACGATTATAAAACAAGATGACACTTTTTACAAAGTGAACAATGGTCGACTGAAAATGAGATTCTATGCGGACTCTTCTGCTACGTTGGTTCGCTACGATCGTGAAGACCAAGATGGCCCAAAGCTCAGCGACTATGAACTCTTAGACTTTTCTATTGCCGAAAGCGAAAAAGCGAAATTGCTCGACAAAATGCTAAGCAAGTGTATGGGAAAAAGAGGAAGGGTGGTCAAGGAAAGGTATACATTACATTACAAACATAGCTTTATAACAAGCATGCTCCTTTTCGTCCTTATTTTTCATCATCATTTTGGCTCCAATTTTTAGTTGTTTAACCACTTCAGATGCTTATTACTTTTTCCATCGCAATGCTAATACCACTTCTAGCTTCAAATACATGTAAAGACTAACAGCGCGAGACGAGGCTCTGCAGATCAGGTACCGGATGACTATAAGGGTTTCCGTCATACTAGCGAACACCACATCGAGTTCAAGGTTGTTACTTATGCTAATTAATAGTGCCTAATAAGTGCAATAATAAAAAAAGACTTCCTTCCTTCCTTCCTTAGGAAATAATAACTGTTTTCATGGTGTACGCTGGCGTGACGATCAAGGTAGCGTACACCAGGCCCTTCTCGAAAACGGCTTATTGTTATGCAACCAAATCATCATCATCTAATTCTAATAATATAAATTCTAGTAGTGCCAACACTATGCAATCTACTATTCATAATCATAGCTCATAAGGGAACAACGATATAGAACAAGACTTACTAAACCTTTGGAGTTAAAAGAGAAGTTCGCTTTCTATATTCATTATTTAGAGTACGCTACCATGACGTCAGCTCCAAAGGTTATTTATAATTTGCCCCTTATGAGTTTAACCCTTATGAGCTATTATCATGAATATTTGCATAGTGTGTGGGCACTATTAGAGCACTATTTTCTATAAAAGGTTGCATAATAATAAGCTTTTATTCGAGAATAGCCTGGTGTCTTACGCTATCTTGATCGTCACGCCAACGTACACAATGAATTCAGTTATTATTTCCTAAACTAAAAAGGATTTTTTTTATTATTGCACTATTTAATAGCATATATAATGACCTTATATATTTTTTCATTTCGTGGCTATTTCCTACCTTGGACAAAAGTCGCCTCCATTTTAAAACCATTGATCGCGGTTTCAGGAGCTTTTCTAACAGTTTATTATATATCTGTTCTTAACCGCTAATCATGGTATTTAGTTTTCCTCAAGGGTTTTTCCCACCCCCACGCCTCCATTCTACGAATGCTTTACGTATCACGCCTATCGCCCAACCCATCAAATTAGCAACAGCTGGTGAGTTCAAAATGACAGTCACGTCTCAACGATACCTACCACATTACGCATTGGTTAGGTAAGTAGATATAAAATATTTTCCCCGATACCTCTAAATCCTATTCTGATTCTTCTAAAGAGGTTCCGAATATCTAGCATAAAACGTTAATAGGTCCTTCTATCTACCAACATGAGAATTTCCACGAGGTGAATTCTTGTTTCCATTCTAGCATGACCATGACTTTAATTTATAATTGCCAACTATAAATTTCATATTTGCAGGAGACTATACATGGTTGGGCAGACCCGTGTTCATATTGACAGCGTTCAAGATCTTGGCAACTTCATGGAACTAGAGGTTGTTCTACGCCCAGACCAATCCGTTGAAGAAGGTCAGGAAATAGCTAAGGACTTGCAGAGCAAACTAGGTGTTAATGATGAGGATCTCATAGAGTGTGCTTATGTAGATTTATTGGATAAAAAAACTGAATAAATGTGTTTCTTATATTGTTAGCTTTATTTCGTCCTCACTAGTATTGCGTTAATCTGTATGTAAAATTTAATATCTAAAATGCAGGGGCGATTATTTTCATGTAGTTGTCTGTCTAGCGTAAATATCTGAGGCACAAAAATGCTGGTTAAAGACAAAACTCGAACAGTAAACACACACTACACAACATAACATAGCTGAGGCGATGTTTGAGTTCGTTATTGGTTTAGCTTGACAAGGATTGGTCTAATATGATGTTCAGTAGAGTGCAAGGCTGAAGTATTGCAGCAGGGCGGATTGAGTTTGTTTTTTTTATAGATAGGTCCGATAAATGACTCCACCCCACCTGATGTTAAGTGAAGGTGAAATCCAGACGCGAAGATAGCTGATACAGCAGTTCTACCTGCCACACCGGCCAAACCCCACCCTGCCAACCTGTATGTTGCTTCTTCACGCCTCTTTTAAAGGATCCCAGGTTGTCAGAGGGTAGGAACACGTGAGCGGGCAGAGCATTCATTCCATTTACGGATAGTGCGACAAAGAAATGAATCACCAAATTTCTTTGTACGCGTTGGAATTGTGGCCACAGTAAGACGGTGACGGTGCGCGCGTGGTCCTCTGAAGGAAAGGGGAAGGTGGGATAAGAGAGAATAACTCGTTAGAACACTCGCCGTGGTACAGACGATAGAACGCGCTTAATGACGCCACGTCACGGCGTAATAGGCTAGTTGACTCATGTCGAATTGTATTAAATAAATGTTTATTTCTTAAATTATTTGGTCTAAGGAACCTAAATATATCGATTTCACTTCATAAAAGTAGAAGATTGCCGTAGAAATTTAATTCACCATACCACCACATCCGCCATAATTGTGACGTCTCCTTTAGTAAACAACTAAATGTCATTCATACATAACTTTAAAACTTGTATTATTAAAACTGATAATAAATGAAGGGACATAAAATATTATTCAATGAGTACTTACATCAAAGTGATCTTCGCAAAAATAAATTTCACTATTTGTGTGATGTGTTTTTATTTCTCGTACAATACAATAATGATAATTACTATATTTTCGTGGTATCTATTAGAAATCATGTTTTTTTATTATAAACTCAGATAGGTTATTTTCTACTTGCTTACGAATTTTTGTTTACTACCGTCGACGTCATAGCATAAATAATCTATAGACTAAAATGGCCGACAGCGTTTTTGTATGTCCATGAAAAATTAAAGATTTGTAGCTTTCTAGGTCTCAAAAAAATACAATAAATTTTTTTCGGTCTAATAAAACATTTATTAACCATTTAAGGGGCCGTCCATTAATCACGTGATGTTTTTTTTGGCATTTTTTCCCCCTTGGTGATACATGGTGAGGTTGAAGTCTAGCCCGCCACCCCCCACCCCATATCACGTGTATTTTTAGTACCTACAAAGAATCTTATTTTTTTAAACTTTTAGAGGTAGACAGAAAGGTTGTTTTTGACTGACATCAATATAATGAAAGAAACTGAAAAACTTTTTGTACTAATACATGAACATTATTTAATGTACAGTATCCTCGGACCACGTAAATACACGTGATATGTGAGAGCAGTTAAGAAATACAATAATGAGCATAAAACTGCCAGACTTAGCACAAACAATTTACACCTGGACTGCCCCTCACGACCGGTCTATATAACAGAAAATCTAACATTTCAAACAAAAAAACTTTTCCATGCAGCAAGAGAATTTGCAAAAATGAACACCTTCTCATTTTGTTGGGTTTCACAAGGCAAAATATATTTGCGGAAAAAAGAAGGGGATCCTTACATCCGGATAAACAGTGAGGGCGACCTCGGTAAGCTTAATGTTGAATGACTAGCTGTAGCAATCGGGTCTTCTTTGCTTTTTTGCTTTTTTTTGCTTTTTTCTATGCAATATCCGCTGATGTATTTGTTGATTATTTGTTGCTTGTTTATTATATTAGTTTTAAAATCAATTCTGTTTATGTCATGTAATATTTGCAGCTTAATTTTAGAGATAGTTTTGAATTTTATACCGAATAGCATACAACAATATTTTTTTATTATTTTCTGTAACTATGCATGCAAACAACAATCAAAATCCTCAACTACAAATCAAATACACTACAAACACTTACACTACAATAATACTGCAACCTATATTTATTTAATTTTACACAAGACAAACATAAGCATTTCTTTTATACTTACCCCATGCCGTATACTGTACCATCGACATACTATATACTCACATACTATGCGTGTTGACTTGAACGTGGCGGATGGAGTGCTTTTGCTGAGCTTGTTCACACTTTATCGTTTCACATATATATACATTACCCTCACATTATGTATCGAGTGTCTAGTACACTTTGTTATTGCTTTTAAAATGCCTATTTGTTCACTTGCTTGTCTATTTATGCATATATCAGCTGTAATGGGTGCTGAACTTTTTACGCTTTTTCAAAATTGATAATATGGATGCATACTGCAATAGCTTAGATAATGAACTGTATCATTCAATTCCCTGCGCGGTTGATGATTTTATTACATATGTACCACACCATAGAGCTACCTGTTGACACAAAATATTCGCAGTATTAGTCGAAATTTTTCTGATTTTGAGGTACTATTGAGTCGCTTGAAAACTAAATTCGATATTTTGATTCTTACTGAGTGTTGGCTTTCATGTTTGCCAGTTGTGCCGGTTTTGGATGGCTACTCATCGTTCTCTACTCAGGTCAGTCTTAATAAAAACGATGGAGTGGTAGTTTATATAAGGAATGAATTGCACTTTTCGGTTGAGGAACCTGATTTCCGCATGGGAAACTGTCTAATTATTACCTTGGGAACGGACACGGCAATATTAGCGGTATACAGGCCACCCGCATTTGCCGCAAAGCACGAAATAGACTCATTTATTTCATCTATTGGTGCTCAATTGCAAAAATTGTTTACTTATAAAAACATTATTTTGGCTGGTGATATTAATTTAGCTATAAATTCGCCTAAACTAGATACTAATGCTGAGAATTACTTAAATCACATGGCTTTTCATGGACTCTTACCTACCCACACACTAGTGACTAGAGATCAAAGTGGAAATTGTTTAGATCATATTTTATTAAAATCAAATATGCTTTCTCTGACACTTGTTCCACAATCTACGATTACTGATCATAAAGCAGTAGGCTTATTTTTGTGTTATCAACCTAAAAGAAAAGATGTTCTACGCACAATGAACAAGGTTGATGTTGATGGTCTGAATCTGGATCTAATAAATATTGATTTTGAGCCCATATATAGTTCAATTGATCCGAACTTTCAAATGACCTACCTAATAAACCAAATAAAATCGGCGGTAGAACGTAATACTAAAACTGTCTCTGTTTCTAGAAGCAAAAGAATAATCAAGCCGTGGATTACACCAGGCGTTTTGAGATGCATAAGGTTTAGAGATAAACTACATGGTCAAACTAAAGATCAGCCTACAAATTGCATCCTTAAAATATCATACACTCGTTATAGAAATTTCTGTAATAACTTAATCAAGAAATTGAAAAGAGAATATGATAAGGGTCAAATAAATAAAGCTGGAAAGAACAATAAAAAAATATGGGAGACTATCCGAAACATCACATCTAATAACAAAATCAAAAACCCAGCCCAAGAACTTTTAACAATATCTGCAAATCCAAACCTTTCAGCCGATAGAGTAAATAGATTTTTTGTTGACATTAGCGAGAAATTAGCCAGCAATTCTCGCGTACACTTGCATGGCGCGGACATGGATGGGGCAAATGAGTCACACTCAAATTCGTTTGTTTTGCTTGGGACCGATGAACAGGAGGTTGGTAATTTAATTCAAAATCTAAAAAGTGAATGCTCTGTGGGATGGGACGGCATTTCTAACCAACTTTTAAAATCGCATAAAGATATTATCATTCGACCATTGACGTTTATATTGAATAACTGCCTGCGTGATGGTGTTTTCCCGGAAGTACTTAAAAAATCAATAGTCATCCCGATTCACAAGGGCGGTGATAGAGATCGGATCTCCAATTACAGGCCCATATCTTTACTGCCTTCGATCTCGAAAGTATTCGAAAAGATCATCAACACCCGTCTGGTACAGTATCTCGAAAAAAACAAAATATTATCGCTGAACCAATTTGGCTTTCAACGAGGCAGATCGACTACTGATGCTATGCATGCTGTAACCGAGTTTGTTATCGACAGACTCGACGAGGGTAACAAATGTGTTGGCGTTTTTTTGGATCTAGCTAAAGCTTTTGATACGGTTTCCATTCCTATTCTGCTCAATAAATTGTATAGGATCGGGATTCGAGACTGTCAATTGAAGTTATTTGAAGATTACCTCTCTGGGAGATACCAATGTGTGAATATAATGGGATATCGAAACTCCGAACTAATGATAAAGCATGGTGTCCCGCAGGGCAGCATCTTGGGTCCAACCCTGTTCCTAATTTATATTAATGACCTGTGTCAGTTAAAACTCACATATGGAAAAACTGTATCTTATGCTGACGACACAGTTCTATTATTCTCAGCTAAAACGGTAGCTGGGACCTATGATGCTGCACAAAATGGATTGAACCGTGTCATGCACTGGTTAAGGTCGAATAATCTGACACTAAACGCGGAAAAGACGAAATGTATTTATTTTACAATGCGTAATAAAAACTTATCTGATAAATCACAACAACAACTTCCGGAGCTCCGATTCCACAATAATTGCAATTTGGGTACCAATTATGATTGTTCTTGCAAACCACTGCAACATGTCGGCGACATCAAATACCTCGGAATTGTGGTAGATAATAACATGTCCTTTAAATTACACGTTAAAGTTCTGTGTGGTAGAGTGAGAAAACTGATAGCCACCTTTAAGTTACTGCGCCATGTCCTTGAGCCGACTTTACTAAAACGTATCTACATAGCCCTATGTCAATCAATATTGACATATGGGGTGGAATGC